GACTGACTGACTGACTGACTGACTGACTGACTGACTGACTGACTGACTGACTGACTGACTGACTGACGAATTGACACAGTGACTTACTGGGGTGGGTGACTGAAAGACTGACTGAGTGACATCGTCAGTTATAATAATTTAGTTGTTTAAGATGATGTGCATTATTTTTAGCACAAAAAAAATTAATGTATTAATATTAGTTTCGGACATTAATACATACCTGCTGTGGCTTAAAATTTGTAATAATAATGGTATGTATACGTTATTTGTGCAAAGATTTATAATAGATTACTTTTCTGTAGCAGTTCTTTAACTTGACGATCGTTTCATTCCAGCTTAAACTTTGGTATGTCGTTGTTTAAGTTATGCTGCAAATAACGAAGTTGATTAGTATTCTGGTGATAACTTTTTCTCTGTCCGTTGTAGTCGCTTAATTTTAAAGCGTGTTCTTTCTATTAATTCATATGCTTTCTTTCAGGCAAGTTATGGAACGAAGGAAAAAATGAACCAAATGGTCAACGGATCTTCCAACTCTGATTCGAACTCATCTTCAAACTTCGTTCCACGTTCCGCGGCTGCGAAGATTAACGAATGCGGCATAAGAGATGTATGGGCGAGCAATTTAGAGGAGGAGTTTAGCAAGATACGAGTTGTGATAATGAAATATCCTGTTGTAGCTATGGTGAGTGTGTATATATTAATCCTATTATTGCGCTTTTTGTATTGTCTCTATACGTTTCATCCTTAACTTTTGAACATATTACATTTAGCATATTACACTTCCCTCTTCAAATGAATAATGCATTCAGTTTTTATCACTTTCATGATATCACTTGCACTTTATCACTTGCAATTGTTTTCAGAAGTTAGACAGCAGAGAGTCGCACGACTACAGCTGACTGAAGGGGTTATGTCATTTTCTGTGATTTACAAGTCGCCTTTCTTAGAAGTTGCACAGTAACCGTCTGGTTTCCGGTTAGTATTTAAGGTTGTTATTCAGTGAACACTGGTTAGTATCAACAGAAAAACAGTGTTATAAGACGCTGTCGCACTATGGGAAAAGATTTTGATCCGTCATCCCTGTTCAGCCAAATGATATCAACAAATGAAGTCAGTAATCAGCAGTACTTTGGAAAAATTTGGAAAATTTTCTAGGGCCTCAACTACCGCCGTATAAATAGTAAAATGCATCGGGACAACAGATCTAGTCCGATATTCTCATTTTTCTCTCTAAACGGTCGCTTCTGGCACTTTCTTGAGGCATAAATTTTCTTTTCTAGCGCTGAATTCCTTGAATTTTTGTTGTAAACTGTACTTTAGAGCCACTCTGAACAAACTGATATCTTCACTGTAGGCCGTTAATTAGGATCTTTTTTTGAGTGAATGAGATTCGATTCTAAAGATGTTATTGTCTGAATGCGTATTGTTTGTTTATTGTTTTGTTTTGTTTATATTTTTCCTATTATTGTTTCATTTCAGATACATTCCAGCAATTGTAGCATGAGTAATATGAATATCGCTTCAGCTCGAACTTTCAAATATGGGTTAAGGAGCTACACCCCTCTTCTTAAAATCTTGGTTGTTCCTAGCATCTCGGCTTCTGCAGCTCATCCACCTTGTTCGTTTGATGAACCGACTATAGTAGGCGCACATAGCTTCTTTTCACTGTTCTGAGGGCATTGTCACCACAGTAATGGTAGCCACCTTTACTCTCAATTTTGTATTTCATTCCTCAATTCTTGATATTTCAGTATTTTTCTCTTCTCTTAGAACAACTTTGCCGTCAGCTGGGCACATTATATCAGTGATTTGAATTTTCCTTTTAGCTTTGTTTACCAAAACGACATCGAGACGTTGAGTCAATGTTTGTTTCTCGGTTTGTCTCTGGAATTCCAGTTTTTTAAATTTTTCTATTATTCTGCTAATGTTCAAGACATTTTTATTGATTAGTTTATACGCAGTATGTCAGACTGAAAATAAAGACTGTATTATACTAAGTTTATTATTTATGTAAACCCTGGCGAACATTTCTGTCATTGTGATTTTTGATACGAATGAGCTCAGTTGCTATAAACTAAAGGTATGATGGGTATTGATTTAGGTACCATGAGGACTAGATTGTCCTAGTCCTGATGATACTGCGGTCTATGTAGTGAAACGCGTCGACAACGAGCTGTTGTACCGTCTGCAGTGTTTGGTGCCTTGAACAATCAATCGTTCAAACACTTATCTTTATGACTGTGGGTCCAGAATCGAAAGTCTAAAGTATTATTTATACGCAAATCTAGTTGATAAAATCTGTAACAGACGTTGCGACAGTTCGTCATGCAATTGATAATTGCTGTTCTTCAGGGATGTGCTTACGCGTGCAAGTGCCAAGAGAGACCGCTAATTCAATCACGTGTCTCTATAGAACATTCTGCGAAACACCACTTATTTTAGAGACTGGTCTTAGTGCCTTGAAATCACATGTCAGTAAGCCTGGAGTGAAGATTTATCCGTATTTGTAAAGTGGTAAAGTTATGCGGAGACAAATTCTCTGATGGCATCGTGTGATTAAAATTTTTGGATGTTTTACACAAAATGAAGCCATCTAACACCTGGCGCAAGTGATTATACGTGGCATGTCAGGTAAGGGCGAAAGATCGAATGAAACCTAAACATTCTCCGATTTGTTGTGTCGTGACTAAATTGCTATTTACAATTAAGGGATGCGATAAGGAATTTTAAATCGGTCATATTTTGTTTCGGAATATGGAAGTATGGAAGTGTTAATACGGAAGAATTAGTTTTAGATGCATTCAAGGGAAG